AGAGGATGTGGAGAGAATGGAACCCTTGCGCACTGCTGGTGGCAGTGCAAACTCTTGCAGCCACTATGGAAAGCAGTATGGAGTATCCTTAGGAAATTAAGAATAGATCTACCATATTATCCAGCTATCCCACTGCTGGGTATTTATCCAAAGAACTTGAAAACACAAATGCATAAAGATACATGCACCCCTATGTTCATTGCAGCATTATTCACAATAGCCAAGACTTGGAAGCAACCTAGGTGTCCATCCAGGTACAAATCAATAAAAAAGGTGTGGTATTTATACACATCTACTCAGCCATAAGAAATGATGGATGGACCTGGAGGGTATTATGGAAAGTGAAATAAGTCAGAGGGAGAAAGTCAAATACCATATGACCTCACTCACAGGTGGAAGATAAAAACAACGACAAACAAACACATAGCAATGGAGATTGATTGGTGGTCACCATAGGAGAAGAGGGGAGGGGGAAGGGCAAAAGTGTTGATTAGGCTCACACGTGAGGGGATGAGCTATAATTAGTTTCTGGGTGGTGAACATGATGTAATCTACACAGACTTTGAAATATATTATGATGTACCTCTGAAAGCCACATAATGTTATAAACCAATGTTACTGCAATAAAATAAAATTTAAATTAAATAAAATAATAAAACTAAGAAACTCCAATCATATTGGAGCTCTGGAAAACTGTCAACATTTTAAAGCAACCAAGCAAATGCCTGACCAAAAAAAATGGCTTTTCAAAATTGAAGGACAGTTTCTGGCATTTTCACTTGCCCAGATCCCACTTCTCCCTGGTGCAGCAGTGCTCTTGGTCTTGAAGTGGTGGCAGCCCTGCTACTACTTCCATCCCTCAAACCAAGGAGAGCAAAATACAATTTATTTGAAAATTTTTTTGTACATTTGTTATAACCTGTCTGGAGAATTTCTGAAGGACTAACGCAAAGCACTCATCTCTGTTTCACCGAACTCAGAACTCAGGAAGGAAAAGCAGTGGTTACTGCTTATAAAAGATGCAAGGTTGACTAACATCCATAGACACCTGGGGCAAATTATAGGTCCAGACCTACAATAGAATGCCTAAGGCCTGAAGTAGAAGATGGGGTAAGATTCGTTGGGAAATTATAACATGGAAAAGTGTCCATGTATATAGAGGAATTTAGAACACCATGTGCATGCCCAGGACAGGTTAAATACTCAGAAAAGATCAGAGAACAGCTTCAGCTTTCACCTCAGACTGATCCCTGGATCATAGCAAGCCTTGCTGATTACTGAAGGAGTGCTCCAGCACGGAACCAATCTGCAAAGACTGAGAGAGGGAGTTGGTTTTGTTTGTTTTTCTGTTTCTCCTGAGTGTGTGTATGTATGTGGATGCATATGTGTGTGTCTTGTCTTATTGTTTTCTTAGCTCCTGGTATGGAAGGAAATCTCCAGCAAAACATAAATTGAACACAAGCTAAATTAACAGAGACTTCAGTAACCACACATGACAAGGAATATTCTTCACAAAAATAGTTTTATAAAGGTGTTAAACAAATGGACTACTTCAGCCTTCAATAATCAAAAGGAAATAAAGAATGAAAAAAAAGTCCTGCATACCCTGGTGAAGACATGGAATCTGATTTCCAAAGTTGTCACGATGTTATAGTCAAATGCCTAGTTTTCAATAAAAGAATCACAAAACATGCAAAGAAACAGGAAAATACGGCCCATTAATGGGAACTAAATAAATGCACAGAAACAGTCCCTGAGTGACCCCAGATATCAAACCTAACAGATAAAGACTTTAAAACAACGTTTTTAAATGTTTTCAAGAGACAAAGGAAAACAGGGACCAAAAACTAAAGGAAATTAGTAGAATGATGCATGACAAAATGATAATATCAATGAAGATAAAAATTGTAAAATGGAACCAAACAAAAATTCTGGAACTAAAGTAGAATAACTTAAATTGAAAATTCACTAGAGAAATTAAACAACAGAGACAAACAGGCAGAAGAAAGAATCACTGAATTTGAAAACAGGATTATTGAAATTATAGAGTTTGAGGAGCAGAAAGAAAAAAAGAATGAATGAAAGAGAACAGAGCAAGATTGTATTTGTGGAGAACTCCTTGGAGAAATGACTGATTCTAAAATTGGAGCAGAAAAAAATTTATATAATGAGTTCAGAGCATCTTACAATGCCAGAAAGTACTCAAAAAATAAAAAGATTGGGGCATGTCAAAGGCACACAGGAGCTAAACTGAAAGACCTCCCAATAGCCAAAACTGGAACAATTTCAGCAACCAAATAATAAATAAAGCCGTATTGGGTTATAACCCAAGTATAAAATTAGTATCTGTGAGCTCATACTATAATAAATAAATGATTGAGTAATTAAATAAATGGGAGAGACAAGACAAATCTTTGCAGAAGCATTTCAAATACTCCTTCTCCAAGAGATAGAGTTTAACTCCACCCAGGGCGATCTGGACTTGGTGCCTTGCATCCAAAGAACAGAATATGGAAAGCAGAAAATTGTAACTTTACAGTGGAGAAACCTGGCAAACACTAAATTAGCCAAGTGATAAGGTTAATATCACCAATGATGCCAAGTGGATAACTTGTATCCATGATAAGATTTGATGAGTAGAGTTCTTCACCATTATGATAGTTTTTCTAAAAGCCTGTAACTCTGCTCTAAACATGAGAAAACATCAGAACAAAAATTAAGGAGCATTTTACGTAAAACCTGACCACAAGAAAAGACTGTATGTGTCATATAACAGAGGAGACAGGATGACTAAATGTCATGGTGTATCCTGAGTTGAATCTCAAAAAAGGAAGACATTAATGGAAAAAGTGATGAAATCCTATTAAAATTTACTAATAAATTAATTATTAGTAATTTATCCATGTTCAGTACTTTAGGTTTTGACTATGGTGGGATAAGTGAGGTTACATTAAGGGAATTAAGGTGAGGACTTTATAGTCCTTTGAATGTTTTATTGAGTGGTTATTGTCTTAGTAAAGTTTTGTTTTAACTCTGTTTACATAGTAAAACTGTTTCTTTTTAAAATAGCAAAATACTGAATACTAATATTGTAATTTATTAGCTTCTATTGTTACAATGCTAAAGATAATAGAAAGTAAAATAAACTTGCAAGATATTTAGTCTATAGCAGAAGTCAGAAAATATAAACTGATTCTTAATTTTTGTAATCTGAGAAAAAAACATAAAGAATAGTTTGAAAAAAGTACTACCACCAAGATTGTTTTTAAGAAGAAATGTACTTTATAGATGATAAATATTGTGTTTGCAACGCCAATATTTTCTTCACATTCTCCTGTTTTCCATATTTTGAATTTTGAGTTCTTCAAGCTTGTTTTTTGCCTCTTGGTGCTAAGTCGTGGCTAACTGAGGCTTATCTAAAATAACAGACCCTTCAATGGACTGTAAGTTTTGGATGTTTTTATATTTATCTACATGTGTGCATTCTTGAAACCAAGACAGAAAGAAAAGCCAACAAAAAGTTAATGCCTATTAGCTTGTATTATTACCTAATAATTTTAAACGTGATGTTTAACTTTTATAAATTTCAAATTGTTTCAGGATTGAAAGAGACAGTCTCTACAAAGTGCAGTACAGTGCTGACATCTTGTAAAGTGTTGGGTAATCTGGATGAATTAATACTTTAGAATTGGAGATGGTATTTCATAAGGTGAAGCATAATCATAGTGAAGACTAAGAGAACTATTAAATCTGAAAGATTAAATAATTAGTGATATATTTACAAATAGTGGGGCACATGTGTTTCATGATGAAAACAATTGTTATAGTACATCATTGATTAAAAAAGATAAATTGCTATAAAAAAGGTATAACGAAAAGAAAAATGATCCAGAAGTGGGTCAGAGAATTGACTTTTTGAGTAAATGAAGAAAGTAGTGACTAGGAAAAAATGGAAACATTTGATGGACTTGCAAATGTGAGAAGTTAAGGCTTAAGCAAATAATTTCAGAGTCTAATATTCCAATCACAGTGGTCTTCAGTGTTGAGCTTCCAGATGGCTGTTTTGGATGAGGTATGTAGCAGCTGGAGAGGGCAGAACAAAAATGAGAACCAATAAGAACACATAGCCAGAATACAAATAAGCATTCCTCTTTCAGAGACTACCTAAGGTTATCCTTTGATTACACTCTGTTTGAAAATTTCTGTGAAAACTTGTTTTTATGTCAAGATAGATTTTCCTTTAGATAGCATTTCTCCATACTAGCACTGAATTGAAAATTTTGCAAATGTGCCACTCCCGAAAATTTTTCTGTGTAAATGAAATCCATAATTGAAATACATTACTTTACTAACTGTGCTTTTTAATTATTATTGACTGGTAAAAGCAGATAAAGCTATTTCAATCTTTTCCTAGTGAATTGACATTCATACATTTCAAATGCATTCTCATCCTTTACTATTATTCTATGGGAAATGCTACATAAGACAACTGAGGAGGAAGCTAACATATTTCTGTTCTTTATAATGAGAATATAGACTGGAGGGGAAGAGAACTGAAAATCATCAAAGCCTGAGGTTTGGTTCCAGTATACTCTATATTTATGCTGGGATGAACTGGCAAACAAACTGTAAAAGGATAATGCTGTGGGAAAAAAAGTGTTTCGAAGAATACAGTAATTGAATTTAGATGTTTTTTAAAGCAAACAGGGATTGAGTGACTCTCAACCTAATAAACCTTAAGACCTTAAAACTTTATTATTCAAAATTTCCTTCAGATAAATGTGGGAATGATGGACAAATAGCATTCATGTATTTTCACTTACCTAATACTAGTGTAGTTTAGAAGATGGATTTAAGTATCTCATTAGTATAGCTTCTGTTTAGAACCCAAAACATTAGTGTCTGTTATATGGATTATATTTAGAATGTTAGTATTTAGTCGTGGTGGTCATAGTGGTGAAGATGGTCTTTTCTTTTTTTTTTTAATGTGCAATGTTTGGATTCTGTGCAAAATGGGCATGGCCCTTTAAATTATTTTGCCCAGTCATCTCCTCTGTTAAAAAATTACCTACCTCCACAGTAAAAGATGCAAACAATGAAGCCTGAAGCTGAACTATGAGCTGCTTTCTCACATCTTCACGAGTAGCTGACAAATACTGAGGCCTCTTGAATAACAAGAACAGATGAGATACAGAGCCCAGAAGAATCGAGTTGTGTTCCAGCTCACACACATCTATTCCATCTGCCTACTGAGACTTACTTCTTCTATTTGGACCAGACTCCATTGCCAACAGGAACTCTACTGAACTCACACAGGTATCACCAGCTATATCTTAGTTATCGCTCTCAGCCCATCTCATAGTTATTACTCAATTGGGTACAGAGCACAAAGAGTAAAGATTTTTAAAGACAGTCTTATAAATTTAATCTTGCAGGCAAATGAGCTGATGAATTCAGGTTTGAAAATCATTTTACAAGTTGAATTACCTCCTATAATTTTCAATGATTTACGATTGAATTTAATTGATAGTTTTACTAGGAATATTTCAATATATCTCTTTGATTAACCAATGAGGTAGTAGAGCAAAGGTTCACATCAATGAGGGCAGAATCTGAGTAATTAAATAATTATTTAATCAATGATTATTTTTTCTTGTCTCTATATTAATATCCCTATTTCACATACACATCTAGGCCTTGCTTATTTATGTCATATTCCTGATATATTCCAGACTGCATAAAGGATTTTTAAAGGCATCGTAATGTATTTCTGTACAATCATGTTATCTTTTTTAAAATTTATAAATAAATATTATGAACAAACAGAGGCAAGTATGTTTTTAATCACATTCTAAAAGATAGCAATGGAGCTTAATTCTCTGCGGAGATAAAAATATCTAAAAACTGTTTAACTTGATGATACACTAGCAAACTATTGAGATTAAGACCTTTTTATGTAATCAGAATTCTATTCAATATAAATTTCTTTGATTATAAAACTAACATTTAAAGTACCTGAAACAAATTAATTAACTTTTCAAAAGTTTTCAGGTAAAATTGGTTGCTTTTAACTTACGCCTTCAAATATTATGGGCATAACACAACACATCCCACAGGAGTACAATGAAGCCAATTTAAGGCCTAATTGCAGGGTATTCATTTTAAACAACATGTTGAAAGAGGTAGCAACAATCCCTTATAAGATTATGAGAAGCGAATTGTCTTTAGTGAAAAAAAAAGAAAAAAGAGTAAAGACAAATAGAAAAAATATCAGGAGAGCTCATGAAAGAGAAATTTTAGATAACCCATTATGTAACACTATTTATCTCTGCTGATTCACAAAATTTTTCCTGTCTTTTTCTGGATAAAGAAAAATTTTAAGTGTATTATAAATATTTCATAGATCATAGCATTGTTACCCTTTTAGAATTAAATACCACATTTGGAGAACTCCAGGTAGTAAGTGGAATGCTGATACCCAGCAACTAAAGAGAATGTTGATAACTGATAATTTCAACAATGGGAAAGAAAATGATCTGAGGCAAAACTCTTTCCTGGAAGAAAATTGCAAAGCAAAATCATATATCAGTAGTTATTTGGCACGAAAAACTGATTTCAATAATATACTGAGAACTCAGAAAAGATAGAAGCTGAAAACTTAGTTTTGTTTTTTTTTGAGGAAGATTAGCCCTGAGCTAACATATGCAGCCAGTCCTCCTCTTTTTTGCTGAGGAAGACTGGCCCTGAGCTAATATCTGTGCCCATCTTCCTCTACTTTATATGTGGGATGCCTGTCACAGTAGGCTCAACAAGCAGTGTGTAGGTCCGCACCCGGGATCCAAACAGGTGAACCCTGGGCCACCAATACGGAACGTGTGAACTTAACCATTGTACCACTGGGCTGGCCCCTGAAAACTTAGTTTTTTTAAAAAAATTTTTAATTTGTGTGTCTTTTGAAATTTTTCAGAGATGAATGCAAAACATATAACATATGCAGAGGTGAAACATCATCCTTCCAAGAAGCAGATGCAAAAAGAAAGTGAGTATTTTTTTCCCAGTCCCTACTGAATCCCGATATTATTTTCTGCTCCTTGTCAAATAATTTCTCCAAAGAATTTCATTATAATTGGCAAATGAAACATTATAATTTATTTTCAAGATTTTGTCGTTTAAAATATTCGCCTGATGGACTTTACATAATAAGAATAAAACCATTACATAGATCTCCTTGATTTGGAAAATATCTTATTCTGCCAACTCTCTTTGTGCAAATTCATAACCTAAATGCTTTCTGATAAATGGTATGAACATGAAATGGTAACTGCATCTCTGTTTTAATCTCCAGAGATAAAAGAGCAGCTTATTTACTCAGAAGTGAAAACATGTACTTTGAACTCCAATCCGACAAAGATAACGAGAACTGAACCATCTAAAGCAAAAGGTAGAATTTATGCAAAGGACCTAGCTTCCCTGTCCTTCGTTTGCTGAGCCTATGTGTATGTGATTCAAGTAAAGTAAGATAAACGGAAAAGCAGTGTTGAAAATGAAATACCCATGTTTAGTATATTCCAGAGAATTAATGTAACTTGGGTGCTATATACATAGATTCATAACTGAGAAAGTCAAGCAGGAAAATTATTTCTTTTCAGTTTGTTTTTAAACAATTGTGAATCTCCTGATGTCACTATTTACTCATTCTATGAAGTATCAAGAAACATTATTTGATTAACATTATTTGATACATATTTGTGTTTATAATTTATTCTGTGCAATATCTGTGGCTATTCCCAATGTTGAAGAACAGTAGTGAGGCTCCAATGAGAATATTGTGGATGTTTATAGATGTATGCAAGCATACGATATTTACAAAATAATAGCTTTTGATTGTGGGTCAATAAAAGTGATTTATACAAATATATTTAGAAGTATATTCACATTTTTAAAACCAAATTCATATACCTAATATTCCACTTTGTATTCGTAACTCATTGAGATGAATAAGTGACTTCCCTAAGAGATACGTGGTAACAGAATAGAGAGCAGAACCTAGGCAGCTAACTCTCAGTTCACTGTTTCAAATCGGTCAGTATCCCTTTCAATTCATAATTTTAAATTTGAAGACATTCAAGAGTTAGAGTCTTGAATTTATGGGAAAGTCTCCCTCTAAATCCTGCTCTTTAATTTAGTCTTTTCTCTGCTGATCTTCTCATTCTCTCTTTCTCTCTGGGCAGGGTCTTCGGTTCCACTTGCCTGGTGTCTCACTGTAGTGATTCTTGGAATCTTTTGTGTTTGTCTTCTTTTAACAACTGGAGTCTTGGGATATAGGGGTAAGTTAAACAAGATCTGTGGCCTGAACCAAAGATCTTCTCCTTTAGGAATTGCTATTTTTATTGGTCTTCCTTTCCTACTACTTCCAGAGCTATGATCTCCAGTTCTACCCAGGAAACCCCTCCACCTTCACCATTAATGTAATCACTTCACCATTTACCAAGTTCCTCAAAAGCTTCCCATGTCTTCTTTACTTATAAAGCCTAATCATATTCAGGATATTTCCAGGAAAGTCTATATTTAAGGTTTTATTGATGGTAGATAATGCTATGTGATCGTTTTCTCTCTCCTCTGACACTGTCTTTCAATGAGCTGTCAAGTCCTTTTGGTTCTACCTTCAGACCTCCATTCTGCAGCTCAAATGTACTTTTTTAATTGTTTATTGTCATAAACGTCTAATATAAGCCCACAATACTCTTCTCCTGTACTATTACAGGAGTCTCTTAATTTATCCTAAAGTCAACAGACTTTAAAAATCCTATGAAATTGCCAAATAAACTTCTCAAATATATCTCTGATCATGCCATCAAAATACTGAGAAAGCATTAACGAATTTTCGTGCTCTACTGAATTATGTTAAAATTCCCCCACTTTCATATTTGAGTTCATGGATCATCATCTCATTTCGACCAAATAATTTTAAACTTTACTCCCTGTGTCCCAATCGGCTTCAATAATTTTAGATCAGGGGCCAGCCCGGTGGTGCAGCAGTTAAGTTTTCACCTTCCACTTTGGCCGTCCCGGGTTTGCCGGTTCGGATGCTAGTGCGGACATGGCACTGCTTGGCACACCATGCTGTGGTAGGTGTCCCACATATAAAGTAGAGGAACGTGAGCACAGATGTTAGCCAAGGGCTAGGATTCCTCAGCAAAAAGAAGAGGATTGGCAGCAGTTAGCTCAGGGCTAGTCATCCTCAAAAAAAATAATAATAATAATTCTAGATCATTTTCTGTTCCCTGCATTTTCTCTAAGTTTCTCTAGTCCAAAATGCTTGTTTATTCTGTTCCCTTCATCTGGACAGCCTTCCTCATCTAGCCTGTCCATGCCTATGGAAATTGTACCTACCCCTCAAGACCCATCTTATAGGACATGGATGATTTTTCTAAATCCACCGTGAGATATTTTCTAATTCCCTAACCAGATGTCAGTTCTCTCTTTCTAAAACCCACTCTATGAAGTTTTATTATTTTCATCCCCCAATTTTTTCCCCTAGATCATGGTTTCTAAATCTCAGCACTATTGCCACTTCAGTGGGATAATTGTTTTCTGGAGATGCTGTCCTGTGTGCTTCATAGGATATTTAGCAGCACCCCTACCCTCTGCTCGCTGGAGCATTGTCATTATATCCAAAATGTCTCCAGATATTGCCAATGTCCCCTGGAGGGTAAAATTGGCCCCAGTTGAGAGCTACTGCTCTAGATCATTTTCACTTCACGTTAGACACTGCAGGTGATTCAAAAATAAATTAGTACCTAACAAGTCTTGTATCAAAGGAAGTTACAGTCAGCTGCAGTCAGTTGAGTGTTTAGAGTTCTCTGTGTATATTTTTTAAAAGAACACCATCTCGTTTAATGACACAGCTGAGCCTTGGCTCCAAGCTTCCTGGTTTGCAAACCAAACTCTTTGAATTGTGTGTGTATGTGTATGTATGTATGTATGTATGTTTGTATGTATGTGTGTATATATATATATATATATATCACCTTTATTGAAATATAATTCTCCTACCATAGAAAACGCTGATTCACAATGTAAAATTCAAAGGCTTCTAGTGTATTCAGCGTTGTACAACCATAACTATAATCAATAATAGAACATTTTCATTATCTCAAAGAGACACACCATACTCATCAGTGGTTGCTTCCCATTTCCCTCCAAATTTGCCAGCCTGAAACAACCACTCATCTATTTTCTGCCTTATAGATTTTCCTGTGCTGGACATTTCATAAAAATTGAATTATATAACGTATGGTCTTTTGCTACTGGCTTCTTTCACTTAACATGACGTTTCAAGGTTTATTCCTGATGTAATATATCAGTACAGTATTCTTTTCTTATTGCCAAAAAATATTTCATTGTGTGGATATAATTAATCTATATATTAATCCCTTATCATATATATGATTTGCAAACATTTTCTCCCATCATTTGAGTTATCTTCTAACTCTCTTGATAGTAACCTTTGATGCACAAAAGTTTTTAATTTTGATGAAGTCCAATTTATCTATTTTTGCTTTGGTTGCTTGTGGTTTAGGTGTCATATGTAAGAAACAATTAACTAATCTGGGATCGCAAGAATTTATGCCTATGTTATCTTCTGAGAATTTTATAGATTTAGCTCTTACATTTGTATGTTTGATCCATTTTGAGTTAATTTTTCATATGTGATGAAATTTAAATATGGGGTATTTTTTCATTTACAGTCATGCATAGCTTAACAACAGCAATATGTTCTGAGAAATGTGCTGTTAGGCAATTTGATCACTGTGCGAACACCATTTGTGCATACTTACACAAACCTAGATGGTATAGCTTACTACACATGTAGGCCATATGGTACTAATCTTATGGGACCACCATTGTGTATGCAATCCATTGTTGATCAAAACATTGTTATGCTGTGCATGACTATATTGAGGTCTTTAATTTTTCTGCAATGTTTTTTAGTTTTTAGAGCATATGTTTTACTCTTGTTAAATTTATTCCTGAGTATTTTATTGTTTTTGCTGCTATTATAAATGGAATTTTTAAAATTCTAATTTCAGATTGTTTATTGCTTGTATATAGAAATACAGTTGATTTCTGCATTTGCCTCTTATACCATGCAAGCTTGAGGAATTTGTTCATTAGTTCAAGTAGGTTTTCAGTGGATTGCTTCAGATTTTCTACACACAATATCATGTCATCTATAAATATAGTTTTACTTCTATTTCTAATCTGGATAATTTTACATCATATTCTTGAATAATCTAACTAACTAGAACCTCAAGTGTGATGTTGAACAGAAGAGATGAAAGTGCACATCTTCATTTTGTTCCTGATCTTAGGAAGAAAGCATTCAGTCTTTCAAGAGAAGATACAGCCTTGGGCATGTGCACAGTCACCCAGAGATGACAATGATTTTAGCACGATTTTTTTTGGCTGTCTTTTTCCCTGATCTCTTTTAAGACATCTGCCTCAGTTGGTATCACACCCATGTGTTAGACCCTACTAATTGCTGGCTGATTGCTCATTTTTGACAGTGTCCTAGGAAATAAACTTGTCCACAGCCTAATCCAATTTCATACGCATCCTTTATCAAGGTAGTTTTTTAGGCAAATCTTTGACATTTGTACTGACCCCAAGAAGGCTTTTCTTAGCAATCTCTTTCCTTGGTTCTCTAGTAAACTGACTGACCTACATTTAGGATTATTGCTTTCACGGAGCTACACACCTCCTCTTAATTGCTTACCGGTCCCCTGCTCAATCTCCATTGTTTTCAGGAGCATCCTTAGGCTTGAACTCTCTGGTCAAATAAAGTCAGTTCCTTTGGGGAAAGATTTGGAGCTCTATATTCTTATGGCATTTTCCTTTTTCCCTGGAAAAAATCTGTGAGCTACTCTTGGGAACTGGGAGCAGGGCCAGTATCCCACTTCTCTGAGTAATACCCTTGCTTTATGAGCCAGGTCCTGGGTGGAGGGATGGGAACCTCTGGTCTTCTTGACTTGCCTCTTCTGGGCAGAAATCTTCTCCCATTAATGAACTGTGAAGAGAGCCAACCAATATTGCCATATTCTTGGTCTGCTTCAGCTGGGGGAGTATCTCTACTTTGTAAGTATGGACTGGCTGGAGGAAAGGAACCCCAATCTCATAGCCACATTTGTCTGGAATTTAGCCTGTGAGATATGGAGCTGAGAAGGATAAGAACTATCGGTGGCCTGTCCATCCAGGAGAGATACCATAGCCTCAGACGATGATATCTATGTAGAGATACTATAGACTGGAGGCTGGGCAGAGAAGGAGCCTATTCCTCCTGGCCACACTCACTGATAGTGGATCATCCATAATGCTGAGCTCAGGGGGGGAGGGGCGAACAGGTCATGGCTCAAGTGCCACAGATGCTCACTGTTCTTATCAAGATTTAGCATATTTTCCTGAATAAATGTTTCCTAATTTCGCATATGCCTGTAAGACGAGTTCCAAGGACTTTAAAAGGTTGATTTTTTTATAATGGTTGTTTTATCAGTTGTGGTTATTTTTCTGAGGAGCAGTTCCACTGAGCTTATCATGCCACCATTCTGGAAGGGGCACTCTGCTTTGTGTATTTTTAATATGCTCTTTAGAAGTTAAAATCTGTATTTTCCCTAGCCACAACACTTTTCATGATATCTTACACATAATGGATGCTTATTTAACATTTTCTGGATTGAAATATATTTTGCAGCTCTCAGTCTTACATCTGACATGTTACATCAACTCTGAGACAAGCGGTTCTGCAGTATTTGTGTGAGATTCATTCGGATCTTACCTCAAAGAGAGAAGAAGGCAAAGAACAACCTTAGGACTACTCAAGTTCTATAATCAGAGTGCCTCAAGGCACTGTCATAATTCCAGCCTATTATTCCCCATTAATTAGTGCATACATAAAAGAATTTCCATGTAATATATTTTTTCTTTTTTTTTCTCTTCAGGCTTGAAGAGGATGAACTTCATGCCAATATTAGTTTTTATTTAATTTTTTTAAACACTGTAATTTATTAAATAGATTATAGTTCTATCTGTTTAAAAAATGTGGTGCATTCAGCCTTAAATTGAAGAGCTTAGGAGATAGATTGATGTAATTTATTTTCTAATAGTTACAGGTTACTTGTAATTCACTATGGTAAAAAATAGCTTCATTTGTGGTCATGATAGAAATTTTTTCTTTAAGTCAAAAAAGAGTTGATGTAAAATATTGCCTAAATAATTATATGAAATGAGGGAGGGCAAGTATAGGAAAAATTATCATATGGTACATAAAAGACTGGAATTTACAAAGCAGTGCTTAGTAAGAGTTTAAGTTTTAAAAGGGGCTTTCTTTAATTTTAAAAATGATTTATATACTTGTTAAAATATATGTATTTCTTCTTAAAAATAAGTAATATATTACATATAAGCCATGAACTATTCTCTTTAAAGGACACGTTCTGATAAATGTGATATTAACTTAAAGATATAAGCATTCATCATCAACATTTTAAGGGACCCTAATAGAAAATTATTTTCTTGTAATAATAAAAAAAACTGGGAGATACATGGCTAATCACAATAAAAAATTCATCGAAAAAATTAATAAATTAAGATATTTTTATCATGTATCTAGGAACAACATTCTATGTTATTGCAAATATTACATAATTCATATAGTAAAGTATTAAGAACAATTTGTGTCACATTGTAAGCACTCAAATACTGCTTTTACCATTTTATAATCAAAACACAAAAACAATAAAAACTAAACCTACTAACCATTTATGGAAATTTTTATAATAGACTTCTGCAGAAGAATAGTAACATTTCTCATAGGTAGATTAATAATTGAACCATTCAGAAAATGTTTATCATACAAAAAATAAGACTACTATTTACCTAAGGAAGAAATGTAAATGGATAACTGGGAAGAACTATGGATATTTATGGAGAAATAAATGATGATTTTATGCCTGATTAGCTGTGAGAGGTAAGGGAGAAGGATAAATCAAATTTTAAATCCAAATTTTGGGGTCCTCTTATGTAGATTGTGGTGGCTTAAATGAAAAGATAGAAAAATCCAATGAATATTATACTGTTTTATAAAAAAACATTGAGCTGTATAAAATCTTTTGAGTTTGAAGTGACTGTTAATATCCAAGTATATAGCCAGCAATGTTGTAGCTGTAGGATTGCAGCATAGACAAGATCTCAGGAAAGGAATTGTGCCTCTGAATTATTCTTCATGATTCCAGTATCTTTGCACTTCTCTTCATGCTCTGCCTAGCAATGAAGTGATGTTTAGAGTCTGATCATTTGGCTTTACTGTTGAGTAGCTTTGGAAAGCTGAACAATCTCCATATCAATGCTTCTTTAAGGATAACAAGTTTTGGGTAGTGAAGCAGACTTTATAACGGTTAAGCCCATTACAATCACTAGCAGAATGTTGAATATTACTGATATTTCTCATGTGTATTGGTGTGGAAACTAAAAATGTGGAGACTGCAGGCCTTATCTTGAAATTCAAATACTTTAGCAAATATGTAAGGTTTTTTAAATTACATTAATTTTGTTTTCATTTACAGCCTTATCTCCCTAACATCCATTTTACACAACCTAACTTCTGGATATACTGACTAACTTTGGACTATGCTAATATGTCATGGGCTCTCTATTTTACTATTTTGGAAAACTGGTTGCAGAAATCTAGAATTTTACTGTCTGTTCTTTTTACTTTCCTACCTCTTTCTCATCCATAAACAAAAAGTAAATTTAAGATCAACACTACTATGTGAAATCTTGCTGACTCGTCACACTATTCCAGAACTTACATTAAATAGGTTTACCCTCTTCTGAGTTCTAATAGTGACTCTCGATTACCATTGTTATATCACTCGTCATGTAATACTCTAATTCCATACTCTCCACATTACAATGAGTGAGTTTCTTGAGGACAGAAGCCTTCCAGTTTTCACTGATGTATCATCAAGATCTAGGAAAATGTCTTGTCATTAATTAATGTATTTTCAACAAGTGTGGAAATCGTATGCAGAAAAAGATGCTTAAAAAGCACCAGAATAAAAATGGTTCCTACTCCTCAACAGTAACTGATGTATTGTAAGTTAAAATACTGCCTTTCATTCAGTTCCATGTTACGTTTTCCTCAAGTTAATACTGTAGAGTAAAGTTTTCCAGGGTCGTCAGACGGACCTACCAAAGAATACTCCATGGGACAATGTAACACAAGAAGACAATTCCACATTTAAAAACACGGCAGTCAAAGAGGAACCTCTTAACAGAGGTATGCAGATATGGATTGAAGACTGAGACCAACTTACCTCTTCTCTGTTTCCCTCTATCTCCACATATCCTGCTCAAATTGCTTTTTTCTAATAGACTAATCACGGAGTCCTACATTTTTTCTTACTTAATTAAAAAAAAACTCAGACTTTCTCAGAGGTTAGATATTTCTGTATGTGTGGTTATATCCTTTTATATCACCATTTCTCAAAACGATACTTTTTCTCAAAAACCCCAGATCTCCTTTATCATATTCTCTAATCATTATTATACCCGTTAGTATGAGTTGGTAAATAAGGTATTAACTTAAGATCTGCTTTATAACTATAGATTTTACTCAATCTGGAGAATACTAAGAAGCTGCTTCCCATTGTGAAGTCTTTTTAATAGAGATTGCAGGGGCCGCCCCATGGCTGAGCAATTGCGTTCGCCTCTTCTGCTGTGGTGGCCCAGGGTTTCGCTGCTTGGGATCCTGGGCGCGGAAATGGCACTGCTCGGCAGGTCACATCGGGGCAGCGTCCCACATGCCAAAACTAGAAGGACCTGCAACTAAGATATACAACTATGTGTCGGGGGGGAGGGTTGGGGAGATAAAGCAGAAAAAAAAAAGGAAGATTGGCAACAGTTGTTAGCTCAGGTACCAATCTTAAAAAAAAAAAAAAAATAGAGGTTGTGAGGGCATGTATCAATCTTGTTAGAAATTTTTAATAATATTGTGCATAGATTTGGAGAGATATAAATCTGACCCTCTTCGCAGATCAAGGGTCTTTTCAGAAACCACAAAGGAAGCCCATCAGTCTCGTAAAGTAAATGAGAAGAACTATGCAGGATTCATCAATCTCAGTCCCACAGCATTGCTCTCAGGATACGCACTGAGTGGTCTGTGGGGAATGTCTTTTGTTTTCAAGGAAGTGAAAGTAGCACATGTGAAACTAAATGGTCATGTTGTGGAAAGAAATGTTATCATTTTTCACATGATTTGAAGAACTTCGAAGAGAGTAAGAAGGTTTGCAAGAAAATGGACTCCACTCTTCTTAAGATAGAAGATGAGAAAGAGCTGGTGATGTATATTTTCTGGTTTCCGTCTCACCCCATATTTGTCTAGTTGTTAGCTAAATCTTAATGCTTAACAATATTTGAGTGTTTGGGCATATTTGCAGTTGTAAGTTGACACAGATCCAAAGAGTGTTTACGTTAAAGTGAGAAATACTGGTAGAAATGAAATTAGAATTTTACTTAGTTCATCTAATCCAGCCACAATTAGAATTTCTGCAGTATAGCAAATGTAAAGTCAAACATAAAGCAATTAGAAAAAAATTATCATGAAAATATATCATAGTTTGTCAAGGAAAATTATGTATCTTATATGGAGAATTTATAGAAACAGCTTCAGCGTCTCTGAGTAAAGTTATTATGGCTCTAAACAAAATCAGGAAATACAACATTACCACTGAGCTTGAAATAAGAGGAAAAATTCTCTGAATTTAAAATTGAAGATCAATTAATTCCAATTTATATTTACTTTTAACTCATACTAGCTTCCAAAGAAAACTGAACTAAATATTTCATAATCCTTACCGTTATGTCATGCTTTGAATATAGAAATAATTTACTGCTATTCCTGCAAAAAATTAATATATCCTAACATTTCAGGTTAACGGTAATCTTTTAACATCCTCTCAAAGATAGATTAATAGACATTAAGAATCACTCAGTTTTCTGTACTAGTTCAATTATCCATTTACTTTGCTTTCTAGGAAACCAGGAAATAGCTATTAAAAAAATATGAACTTGAAAACCATGAAGAAAACTAAGCAAAATTTAAATCCAGAAAGAAGATATTTGTAGAGCCTGAATTAACCTCCTTTTTATTCCAATAGAAAATTGCATGTATGGTAATGGCTGGTGATCATGTTGCAATATACCCAAATACTGAATCATTATGTTATACATTAGAAACTAATATAATCTTATATGTAAATTATATCTCAGTTAAAAAAAGGAAATTGCAATTGTTGTTGATAGGATAAATTTATTAAAAATCCTATTTTGTTTACAGACAAGGTAAAGATCTTATATGAAAATATATCTAAAAGTAGCCAGATATGGGTGCAAATGTAAAATCTGTCTCTGCTCAAAGTAAATCAATATTCACATTTTAATGAGAAAATCCTTTATAATCTCCATAGATAAGAACTATATGATTTATATGGATAGTTATGAGATTTTTCTGGAATATTGACGTAACTATACTCATACCAATCAGAATTATAATAGAAACATAAGAAAAGAGATGAGAGGTGTAAGCCCATTGAACTGTTAGCTTCTCCTATGAGTGTCTGTACCTTAACTTGTTTACCCTCAGCCTTTTCATAGACTAATAGAATTTCAGAATAACATTATAAAAGATGTCATATTCAATAATCCTTTTATTGATTGATTCACTGATAATGCAGCTTTTGACATAAAAAATCTTAACCTGGGGTCTATGGATAAACAGAGGGACCAGGAATGAATTTCAGAGTCTACAAGTCCTAATCTTTCCTACAGGATTATTTTCATTAAGAAATAAAGCCATCTATGAAAACTCTGAGTTTGAATGCCAACTTTAATTTTTAGATGCATACATGTATTTTTTTTCTGGGTAGAGAGTCTAAGCTTTCATAATCTACTCAAAGGAGTAGGCAATAAAAAGAAAATTAAAACTAAAGGTGAAAATTAAAGCAAAATGGGGAAAAATAGAATCTACAGTCAGAAAAACTTCGATTTAACTCCCTTTCACATGTTATTTTGTGTGGCTAAACCAACTAGAGCATCAGTTTCCTCACGTGGAAAAGGTGGAGAGTAGGTAATAGAACTGGCTATATTTTCTTTCCAATATATTTGGGAAGATCAAGTGAGGCAATATATGTTTATATGCTTTGCAAAAATTAAAGTACAAGATGAATATCAGTTAGTTCGATACTTATCAAGAAATTTCTAGCCAGCTATTGAAAGACCTCATCTGATGGGCAAGGACTACTTCCTCAGGATGCCCACTTCACAAGAAATAAACACAGCACTTGTGGAAAAAAAATATATAAAGCAACATTAGTATAAATCTCATAGCTATCACACCTGGACCCCAAAGCATAAATCAGGCTCTGCTTAGAACTCATCTTTGAGCTACAGACAGGTTGTGAAAGGAAATTAAGAGATTTCAGTCCTAAATGTAAATAGCTAAACTAAGAGAGTGTTATTTTGTCTCATTTATGCCTCCGTATTTACTAAAATATCAATAACCGTGATCCTATTACTTTTTAATTTAAATAGAATCGGGATGAAGTTGATCTTTATACTTTGTGTTATTCACAATAATAAAAATAACCTTAATGAGGTTATTAGTTCATTTTAGAAACCTAAGACGATTTTTACTCAGAGTATGTTCCTTTTATTACAGCATTTCATTCAAAGTCAGCTGTCCTATTTCTCTTGGATTGGACTGTCCCGTAAAGGAACCAGGAGCTCTTGGACATGGGAGGATAACTCACCACCTTTGCTCAATGTGTAAGTCTCAAGAATAGACACTAATAAGCTCTATAACCACAGATACTTGTTTATATTCCTGAAGGTATATAGGAAAAAAATGTGCACATACGTATATAGGATATATATGTACACACACACACACACGCGCGCGCACACACACACATCCAAAGGACTTCAGTCCAGAAAATGAGTACATGGAGAGGGGGAGGCTTTTTGACTTCATGCCTATATTCCTCATACGGTATGCTTTAGGAAAGCCTAGGGCACCAAAGGATAGTTTCTATAAGGAAAGAAAAAATATACCACCTTGACTTTGGACCAATACCTCTTATTATGTCTGCATTAGTAAATGTATATTTTACATCATTTATATGTTTTTATTTTATGTTAAGTGATTGGAATGAATCAAAGAATGGAAACTGTGGCAGTCTAACAGCAACAAGGATGGCTGCTTCTGACTGTTCCAGATTCATGTACTATATTTGTGAGAAGAAAATGGCTCATCTTGCTACCTATCGAGAACAACAAAACAAAAGACAAATATGATAATTTTTCTTCATAAAAGCCCACACCTTTGGAAGTTCTGGAGTTTCTCTCTCATTTCAGAATATCTTCACTGTTTCTATAGGCTGTATGTATTTGTAGTCTCTGACTGAGATGAGGCTTGGATGTTGGGCGCATCAGAATGAGGTACCTCAGACCTACCATTTCTGCTCCTTTCACATGATTACTGCCAAATCACACCAGACATGAGCACTGGTTGGTTAAGAGAGTATCAGTGCTTCCTATGAGCAGTAGGAAGCAGAGGTCTGTATATATTCTTTCTGCAACTCACACAGATTTAGTAAGTATTCCTGCAAACTTCAGTCACTATCATGCACATTTGTGGTCAAAATTAATGCCGACAGTAATTAAAGTCATTATTATGTAGGAAATGTATATATATTTCTGCTTAATTTCTTACTTTTTAGGAGGACAATATTGTATGACAAAGAGAATAGTATCTTGAATCAGATCTGAGTTTAAGACCTGCGCCACAACTAATAGCTACGTGCTCTCTGGCAAGTCCAAACTTCTGAGTTTTCATATCAGTAGGTAAACTATCAAACTGCTCTGCAGTGGCTGTACCATTTTGCATTAAATCAGCAGTGTATGCAAGTTTCTTCCAACATTTAATATTGTCAGTCTTTAAAACCATTTTAATAAAGGTATAGTGTACTTGATTTTAACTTGCAGTTCCCTTATAAATCAATGATGTTTACCATCTTTCCATGTGGTTTTTTTGTCAACCGTAAGTCTCCTATGATAGGGTAGCCGCTCCTGACGCAGGAAGGGTTCATAATCCCTGGAAAAGGCTTGCCAACAAACTGTGACCCAGAGGTGAGAAGGCCAGTTAGCCAATGACGGGTAAGACCTCCAGGGGGAGGCAACCTAAGTGAGGCATTGGTCGGCCAGGGGCACAGATGATATCGGGACCAGGAGGGGCCGTTGCCTAGGAGGACTTGCATGCTCCGAGATAAAATATACGAGCACAGCAATAACATGATAATATCAAAACAGAGGCCAAGGGAGGGCTCCTCGAGAAATCACTAAGAATTCTTGGCATTCGCTAATTACATTGTCCAGAACACCTGTGTATGTTTAACAGCTGTAAGCTATGTATATATTGAAACGCTGGTTATAATAAACTAAGAGTGGCCATCAGCCCTCTCTGCATCTGTCCTGATGTGTACATTGGATTGCGACACCAACAGATAGAGCATGGATTCAAATATTTTGCCTATTTTTATTGGGTTGTTTACTAATTATTGAGTTATGAGAGTTGTTTCTATATTCTGGGTACCAGTATTTAATCAGACATATGTTTTATAAATATTGTCTTCCAGTCTTTCATTCTGAGCTTTCATTTTCTTAACATTGTACTTAGAAGAAGATTTTAGAAGTTTAGAAGAGAGTTTCATAATTTGATAAAGTGTAATTAATCAATTTTTTCATTCATGATTTATGTTTTTTGTGTCCTAAGAAAACTTTAATTAACATGAGCTTGAAAGTTTTTCTCATACACATTCTTCTTGAAGCTTTAAGTTTACATTGAATTCTATACTCCATTTCAAGTTAATTTTTGTATATGGTGCAAAGTATTGGTGCTCCTTTTTTTTAATTTTGGCACATTAATATATAAGTATTCCAGCTCCACTGTTTGGAAACACTATTCTTCTATGGAAATATTGTGGCACTTTTGTTAAAAATCAATTGATCACTTATGTGTGGATTTATTTCTAAATACACTATCCTGTTCCATTGATCCAAGTATCTATCTTCATTTATCTTGATGATTGTGACTGTATGGTAAGTATTGAAGTTAGTGTCAGTTTTCCTACCTTGTCTTTTCTCAAAATTGTTTTGACTGTTTTTTGCTAAAAAACATTTCACTTAAAGGCCATATTTTGATTGTAATTCCCTTCCCCAGTAAAAGGAACTGAGGCTATTTGGAGAAATGGTTGATTCTAAGACAGGGATAGTAAATAAACAAGATGGACATGGAGCGTTTTGTAATGTTAGAAGGTAGGGAAGTGCTTAAAATAACGGGGATATGTCAAAGGGATACAGGAGCCAGGTAAAAGTATTCCCAATGGCCAAAGTTGGAAAACTTTGAGCAACAGAAGAAATAAAGCAGCATTGGATTATAAACTAAAGCATAAAATAAATATCCATGAGTCCATAATGGTGTAGAATATATGAGACAATTCTCCCATGCAGAAGAATTCTAAATAAATTATGTAGATACTACTGCCTCAAGGCTGTGGGATACTAACTCCTGTCTCCTTAAGTATGTACTTAATCACCTGGAAGGGGAAAAAAAGAATAACTTTACAGTGGAAAATCTGACTAACACTACCTCAGTGATCAAAGTTAACATCAACAGTGATGTCATATTCCTAGCATGTACTCTTGATATGATGTGAGAAAAATGGCACTCTACCTCTATGGTCTTCCTCCCAAAAACTTGTAACCATAGTCTACTCATGAGAAAAATATCAAACAATCTCAATTGAGGGATATTCTAAAAAGTGCCTAGCTAGTACTTCTCAAAATCATCAAGATATCAAAAACAAGGAAGGTCTGTAACAGCCAGGGAGCCTAAGATAACATGACAATCCTCCCTCTGTATGAACAACCCCATCTTAAAGTTGATGTGTATCCTTGTCCTTGATTTTACATTTGACTACATGTTGACAACTTTTATATTTTATATGACTACATATATACTACTCTATCTTGATATGTGCATGACATAATTATGAATAAACAATACAGAATGGAAGTATACCCGAACGACATTGATTATTATGCATGATCTACACTGCTATTTTATTCAGCATTATGTTTTCCAGTTTCTACCCATTGATGCAAGTGGATCTAGACTTCATTTCAACCTCAGTCCAGAATTCTATTGTGTGAAATATATTACAGCTCATTCATTTATTCCATTGTTCTCAGATATCTCAAGTGTTTTTTATCTTTCTCTGCCAATAATGCTGCAATGAACATTTCCGTGTCAATAAGTGCAACTGATTATTCATATCAGTAGCCTTTATGTTTTTTTGACATTCACGTTGCCTTTTTCTTATTTTATTGAAGAGCTTATTTAAAATTATGATAAAATTACCCTTTTATTGTAATTTTCTTATATATAATGCAAATACCTTCAATTCTTTAGGCTGTTGGGGTTTTTTTACTTTTTGTTTTGAAATAATGGTAGACTCACAGGAACTTGCAAAAACAGTACAGAGAGATCCCATATATCCTACACCCAGATTTCCACATAGGTAGCATCTTCTATAACTTTTTACATATTTGCACAACAACATATAAAAAAATACTACAGTATAAAACCCGGGAAATTGACATTGGTGCAATCAACTCACCTTATTCATATTTCACCACTTCTGTTTCTTTGTCCGTTTAATTTTTAATTGTAGTAAAATACATGTAATATAAAATTCATTATCTTAACTACTTTTAAGTATATAGTTCCATACTGTTAAGCATATTCACATTGTTGTGCAACCAAACTCCAGAATTTTGTCTTGCAAAACTGAAACTCTATACCCATTAAACAACAATTCCCCATTTTCTCCTCCCCACAACTCCTGGCAACCACCATTCTACTTTCTTTCTCTCTGAATTTGACTACTCGAGATACCACATGTAAGTGGAATCATATAGGATTTGTTTGTTTGTGGCTAGCTTATTTCACTTATAATATCCTCGAGTTTCATCCATGTTGTTGAATGTGTCAGAATTTACTTCCTGTTTAATGCTGGATAATATTTCATTGTATGTGGACACTACACTTTGCCTACCCCTTCACCAGTAGATGAACATCTGTGTTGCCTCTACCTTTTGGCTAATGTGAACAGTGCTGCTATGAACACAGCATACGAACATCTCTTCAAGGTACCGCTTTTGATTCTTTGGGATACATAGTAGGGAAAAGCTGTACTATACAGTTAGTTCTATTTTATTATTTTGAGGAACTACTACACTGTTTGCCACAGCAGCTGCACCATTCCACGTTTACCAGCAGTGCACAATGGTTCCAACTTCTCCACATCCTTGCCAGCATGCATTATTTTCTGGGTTTTTTGTTTGTTTTCCTTTTTCAGGTTTTATTGAGATATAATTGATATACAGCACTGTATAAGTTTAAAGTGTACAGAATAATGATTTGATTTCCACATGTTGTGAAATGATTGCTATAATAAGTTTGGTTAACATCAATCATCTCATATAGATACAAAAAAACATTGTTGTGCAGATGCAACTTTCTTTACTCTGTGAAAATGGCAAGAGTGAAATTATAAGAAACTGACAAACTATTTTCCAAAGTGGCTGTACCGTTTTAGATTTCCACAGCAATATATGAGTGGTACAGTTGCCTTTGATCCTAGTCAGTATTTGCTATTGTCACTATGTTTTATTTTAGCCATTCTAATAAGTACTTGGTGATACCCCATTGTGGGTTTAACTTGCATTTTCCTAATAGGTAATGGTATTGAATATCTTTTCAGATGTGTACTTTCCATCCATGTATCCTGTTCGGTGAAACATTTGTTTATGGGTTTAGTTCATTTTCTAATTTGGCTGTTTCTTTATGGATGAGTTTTGAGACTTCCTTATGTATTCCAGATAAAAATTCTTCATTCATCTTCAATTTTCAAAGATTTTTTTACCAGTGAATGCCTTGACTTTTCATCATCTTAATAGCATCTTTTGTAGAGTAAGAGTTTTTAATTTTGATGAAGTGCAATTTATTGATTTTTTTCTTTATATCATCTTGATTTTGGTGTCATATCGAAGGCCTTTTTGAATGTCTCTATTTACCAGAGATTTTCTCCTCTATTTCTAAAAGCTTAATCATTTCAGTTTTCCATTTAAATCTGTGGTAAATGTAAACATTAAATTTGAGTTCTTTTTTGTGGAAGGTATGACGTTTAGGTCAAGGTTCACATTTTTGCCCGTGGATGTCCAAATTGCTCCAGCACCACTTATTGAAAAGGCTATTCTTCCTCTGTTAAATCATCTTTTCTGGGTTTGTCAAAAATCAGTTGGCTGTTCTTGTATGGGCTTATTTCTGGGTTTTCTATCCTATTCTGTTGATTACTGTATCTAAATACCACAATGTCTTGATTACTGTAGCTCGCTTATAAGTTTTAAATCAAGTAGAATATTTCCTCCCACTTTATCCTTTTTTAAAAATTGTTTTGGCTATTCAAGTTGCTTTTCCTTTTCATATAAATTTCATAACAGCTGTGTATATTTACAAAAATATTGCTGGGATTTTGATGGGAATTGTTTTAAAGATATACGTAAATTTGGAGAGAATTTACCTATTTACTATGTTAAATTTTCCCATTCATGAACATGGTATTTATGCTTACTTAGATCATCTTTGCTTTCTTTCATTAACTCTTACAGTCTTTAGCATGTAAGTGCTGTGTATGGTTGTGTTAGATTTATAACTATGTATTCCTTTTTTTAATAGTTGTAAACTATATCAAATGTTTAATTTGTTTCTACATGTTATGGCAAGTATTAAGAAATATAAGTAATTTTTATGCTAATATTGTATGTATACTTTGACTTTGATGAACTCAGTTCCAAAAGGTTATTTCTGTTTTCAGTTATTAGGCATTTTCTATGTAGATAATCTTGTCTCTGCACATAGGGGCAATGTTATTTCTTCTTTTTCAAACTATGCACTTTTTATGCACTTTCTTACCTTTTGTTCTGGCTGAACTTTGCAGTAGTATTTTGAAGAAGAGTGATGAGAGCTGACATCTTCGCCTTTTTTTCCTGATATTTTTAAGGCATAAATTTTCAGTATTTCACATCAAATATAATGTCAGCTATATGCTTTTGTAGATGTTTTTATTCAGTTAAAAACATCTATGAGTTTTTGCTTCATGAATTTGAAAGGGCCCTTTTGGGTACATATATATTGAGAAATTTTATTTCGTCTTGATGGATTGACCTCTTTATCATGATGT